ATTGTACAGTGGCATTAAGTGCCGTAATGTGCACCTCTGCCTACCCCTTCGGGGATAAAAAGGCGTGATGTTATGTGTTGATCAATGAATTCCACTTTTTAAACTGTCAAATACCAAGCGGTCACCGGTGACCGCAACCTATTGTTCTATAATTGTGTCTATAATGACGGTACTCGACGAGTTAATATACAACAACAATATACTTTTTAATTGAAATACGGCAATTGAAATACTATTTAATTGCAAAAGAGGTTGCAAAGTAGTGATGAATTAGGGTTGCCTTGAAAATTAGAGAAACATTTTAACTAAGCTTATGTACAGGACAGGATTACCTCATCACTAAGTCATGGCATTATAAAACACTGTCCTAATTCAGAGGCTTATTATCATTTTATCCATGTCCACAATCAAAATTCACGTCTCACTGCCCTTGAGTGACGTGCGGCTAACGACCAGTCGCGACATTTGTGGCGTGGACTCACTGCCGGCGTGCGGCGGGCTCACTATAATTATACGTAACTAACGACCCATCCTGGCTTGGTGCTGTACTGTTGGACTTTCTTGGTGTATTTTGTAGTTGTCTCCTTAATATCATAATAACATAACATAACATCACACCTTTTCTCCCCAAAGGGGTAGGCAGAGGTGTACATTATGCCACTGTACAATGTAACAACACCCACTTTTCACTATTTATATTATGAGTCCCATGTAATAGGGGGTGAGCTTATTGCCATATACCGGGCACAATTCCACGCTCCGTGCTACTACTGAGATTTTTTTTAAAACCCAGTAATACTTTGCCCCACACGGGAATCGAACCCGAGACTCCTTGCCCGGCAGTCGCACTTGCAACCACTCGGCCAACACGGCAGTCTATCAAAATAAATATAATGATAAATGGTGAAAAATTCAATCACTTACAATTACGGTATTACGCTATACGCTAATTCTTTGTACATTTATTAAATAGGGTTCTTGAAAAGCTTCATAACCTAGAACTTGTAAATTACTCAAAATATTTAAGTTTAGAAAATATGTGTTGTGTTGACTAAATTGAGATTTTCCGTGAAGATTTATTTTCAGGCCGTTAAAGTTGTGACGTCATAATATCGTCTTTAAATATTAACATTAGAGGAACATAAATAAATGTAAACACATATTTCCCCGCAGTGATTCACACAGCAGTTTACTATATTGTGTCACGCAATCGTTGCCTAGTTGAATCACGGGTTAATCGGGGTGAACGACCGGATTAATAAGTTTCAGTGGTGATTTCATTATACGGGGTATTGGAAAGTTAACTTTTGCTAGACTGTTTTTGTTACTTGCTATAAAAGGGTTCACAGAACGCATTAATCCAAAATCAGAGTTAAATAATGTTTTTTTAGATATAAGAAGATTAATTTGATTTGTATATATTATTCTTTAATGTTTAAAAATTATAATCGTTTTGTAACGAAACGTAAATAATAATCATTAATCGTTGTTAATAGTTATCGTAATATCCCGATAGTGAGTTTTATAATTTTACTAATTTAATTTAGATACTACGCCGTAGCTGTTGTGTAGCGGATTGACTACGACGGCTACGATAGTGTAGCACGATCTTTATACGCAATAACTAATGTATTTTATGTTTTTATTTTTCATTTCATCATCACCCATCAGTTAAAGTTTGTTAAGCTAGTTTAAATAGGAGGAGGTTCTAATTCGTCGAATATATTTTAAGTATATAAATCTTATCCATTTCTGCTATACACTTATGAATGATGGTTGACGTCAGTCTAGGGTGGTTGTAAGAGAAGTCAGAAATAAAAGACGTTATTTTTCAATCACGCATATCATTTTATTAAGTGTTGTAGCTAGGCTCTCTTCTATCTTTTCAATTAATTACACATTAATTGACAATAATAATATATAAATTATCCTTATAATTAAGGGTACAAAAATAAAATGTAAAAAATACAAACTATCTACACACGTAATTACGATACAGGAGAATGTTCTTCAATGAAGCCTTAGCAAAGTAATATAAACAGTAATTTGAAAATTATTATTATTATTTTTGAGTACAAATCATATTTTTCCTTCTACTAAAATTATGATATTTCTTACAATTAAATCAAATGGTAAGTTACAATTTTTGTTATTCGAATTGCTTTTACAAACAAATATTGATAATTTGTTAAACATGTTGGAAAAAATGAAGTAACTGTTGGTTTTAGAAGGATTTTACAATAAAAAAAAATTATACTTTTGAGACAAAATTAATGACGTAACGTATGAAGAGTCAATTTCATTATGTATATTTTTTCTATCTACAACAAACTTCGTGCCTAGTTCAATAACTCCTATTACAAAGTCTTTCTGTTTTCTAAGTTTTTTATTCCTTTAACAAACCTTACGAAATACGAATTATACACAAATTTAATTTTATTGGCATTATAACTTTCAAACGAAAATTCGAAAATAAACTATATATAATTTTATATACAAACTGATAATCTTGAATAGTAATAATTATAAAAAATACATTCTGAAAAAAATATTTAATGTTAATGTAATCGTAAAATAATGCCAATTAAATTTAAAAAAAAAACACGCTGAATTATGTAAGTAGAGATAGTTCGTAAATTCACTAGAAACTGACCAGTTACTGTTAACATACTATTAAGTTTATTTATACATTGTCTAAATTACTATATAAAATCGCTATCAGTCTGATGTCAACAACAGTAATACTACACAGTTATTATAATATTTTACATTTTTATTTGAATTTAATGAAATTGTAATTATCTTACACGGTTCGTACAAAAAGGTTTGAAATTGTTCATTTAAATGTCACCGAAGATTAAAAATGCATTGTGACTTTAAATTAACTTTATATTTTGTCAAACAAAAATGACACGAGAATTGTTTCAAATATATAAGAATTCATTGTCATTAAATACTAAAATACCGCAAACTATTATTTCAAAATATTTCGTATTTAGGCAAGCTATGTAATTAAATTATTTCAAACATTTTAAAATTGCTGAAAAATATAATATAATTAACTTTGGCAAGAAACAGCGCTGCTTTAAAAGACATCTTTGGTAAAAATACGAAATAATGTTCGAACGATATAAAATGAATACAGGAAGGAGTATTTTTGGGGTATCCAAAAATGTGTCGTAATAATTTTACACAGGAACGTTTTTAGCTCGGCTGGTAAAAAACACGATTAATTAGGTAATCAATCTCGTATTCATTATACATGCATTATTACGATACATAGGCACATTACGGGATTATAAAACAATTATTAATGCTATTAACAATTCACTAATTAAGTAATTCCTAATTATTACATTACAACATTAAAAACTATTACGCTGCTAATCGTCTTTGGCGATTATCTTTATCATAATTATTACTACGATTAATGAATATTTATTATATTAATCGAATCTGTACAATTTCTATTTTATGACAAAAATACAAGCGCACACCTAATATTTGAATAGTGTTTATTTGAAATTATTAAAACGAATTGTTAAGCACATTTATGTCTTCTTAATGTTTATAATATTGGAAGTGGTTAAAAACTATTAAGATGTTTAAAATGAATTAATAAACGTTTGTCAGAAATATTCCATCTTTTCGTATTGATAAGTTTTATGTAGAATGTAAAAAATACTAAATCAACAATCGTATTAAAAAACTATTTTACATACTGTTTTTCGTATCAACTTAATATTTAATTTCACATATTGTTTCGTTTTTTCGTATTTATATATATGTATAACTTAACCGATTTCTTTATTACAAAATCACTGATCTAAAACAACTATTACGCACCATATTCATTACCTAATTGATAATTCAATTAAAAATAATATAACACGACGTGAAAATACATACCACTATTATTTTATTCACTAAAAGAAAACATTAGGCCTTCTCAAACATTATTTCTACTTGAATTCAAAGGCCAAGCTTACCTTTACAAATCTATTTCTTATAATAAATCTAGTATCTAAATAATTATTTACACCTTACAATATTTTAAGTACTAAATTATAACACGGCCGTATGAAGAAGGTACTTAAAGCTATTTTTTTCATAGTCTTTGGCGTGAATTCACTAAAGTCGGGTTATGCACTATATTGTCTTAGTCACAATACTACTGTCACTTGGGCTTGAGCTGTCGTCAGCTCGCTGCTGGTTCCTTAGTTCCTGTAACAAGAAAGTAAAGATTTATATAACTTTCTTAATTAAGTCTATTTTCCATAATGAACATAACATTATCCTCGAAATTCTTTATATCCGCGCAGAGTAATACACATTGTCTTCCAAAGCGACAATCAGTTGTCACCAATTATGTTCACATATTCGCTCCATGTAGATATTAGGGTGGTAAACCTATTGCCAAAAATTAAGCACAATTACAGGCGTTTATTACATATTAAAATAAGTGGTATGTTTTTGATATTAGCCTCGTTAAAAATATATCTTTCAAAGACTTAGGCCAATGACTCACGGCGTAATTTTGAAATGAAATGTGCTATGATTTTTTACATACATATCAGTATTCTACAAAAAACTGCAACAATGGCGGGGTGCGGAAGAAAATTTTGCAACATAATTATGCTTTACCTACGCTAACCTTTCTTCTTTGGGTAGAAGACTAAAAATATAAATTTTACTCAAACGAATGACTAGAGAGATGAAACAAACTATTCTTCATTTCGTAATTATCGATTCCATTCACTTTTCGTACAATATTCCAGCTATGTAATAAGATCTATCGCCTAAAACTACCTTTGTTGGTATTCGATCGTGATAGTCTAATTTAAGTTCACCTTTACCTCTAATAATTCATTAATCCAATTAATATTCACCCCTTATTCATCCTGTGTTTGGTTCTACTGTTCCGTATTTTAGAATAGTTTTTGGTATCTGTTATGCGATTTTGTACCTTAAAGATTATTTAGAAGATATGGCATTAGGTTCCATTTTGGTAAACATGTACTTCAGTGTCTGTAACACATCAGCTACAGGATGTGTTTTATTTCTGTTGAAAAATGTTCAAAAGGACGATGTTCATTTAGACGGTAATACATCAACCATAAATATTTTCACCCCAAATTCGAATATTAAATCATTTCATTTCGTAAATTGTAAGCACAAAGAAGAAAATCGTAACATAATTTTCATTGTCAAAGGAATCAATTTATTGGAAGGGAAAAAGCAAAGAATTGTGATTAGCTCACGGAGGCGACAATTCTTTGTCATTCACGTATGAAAACGTTACATTATTGGGTTCATACAGAATTTTACATGCATCATATTTGAATATGTTGCCAGACGTAAAATATACAGTTGCTTTTGGGAATTCCTTTGTGCTTTTTAGACGACTGTGAAATATTATAGTGGGAGAGCGTTGGACATTTTTGGTGTTTGAAATAAAGTTGGAAAATGAGGGTTGAAGAGAATTTTATGCGGCACTAACGCAGGGTTGGTTAGTTTTTGTCCCGGAACCAAGAATCGTGCTCAAGTATAAATGCAGCTATTTAATTCTAACTTTGCATTTTGTGTCGTGTTGTTGTAAAAGATAGTCTCATGTTCATTAGAGACAGGATTAAAGTGTAAAAACTTTTAAGGTCTTTAGTAGAAGTTAATTAGATCAGTTACTGTTCTCAATGAAAGTAATCAACGAATAATCATTTATAAAATAAATTTATAAAATTTATAAAATAAATGATTATTCGCGTTTTTGATTACTTGCATAAGGACATATTTAGTCAACATAATTCGCCATAGTTTTATATGAAAAAAAAAAACATCCAAATAATAATATCAGTTCTTTAATCTAGTCTCTGAAGCAAACATGATACCTATATAAAATATACTCGTATTGCGAAAACTGTCAAACACCGCGAGGACACGGGTGACCGCAACCTATTGTTCTTAAATTGTGTCTATAATGACGGTACTCAACGAGTTAAATAATTATAATTCTATTAAGAAAGGACGTTAATAAAGATCATACCTACATAATAATAATATAAATATGACACTTCATAATCTAATACACACACTCCACATAATAGGTACATTACAATTAACATATAATAGGCATAAACAATAGTCTTACCCTGGACGTGACAAGTCTCTGCACTACGATCTCCAGCCTGTCTCCTGCAGACGCGATCAGTGGCACAGTCAGGCAGCAGTCATAGTCTACTGTCCTTGTTCCATTTACCTGATGGATATTGAAAGAATAGTAAATAATTAATAAGTATATTGTTTTGTGGATAATTATTATTTTAGAGGTAGGTCTCTTTTGCTGGAGTTGCGGGTAAGGTCGTTACATACCGCAGCCCCAGCAAGGACCAGGAGTTGCAATAGGGTAGTTTGTAGTCGGTAAGAGTCTGACACTGATGAATTTCCATCGCTACAAAAAAACATAGGCGCTTTGAAATTTTATGGCTCTTTCAAATACAAATATAGCCTAATACCTAACAACAAATCAAATATTGGAATAAAATTTACACTCGCATTTCGATACGTTAATAGTCTGTGTGTAAAGAAAAGATAAAAAAAAATATTAATCTGGTGTTCACATAAATAACTACAAAGTACTGCATTTCACCTAAATTTTAATGAGCTCCGTTGAAAATCGAACGTTAGATTTTATAGTTCTCGTTAGATTTCCTAGTGCACTTTAAGTATTATACCAGTGATGAGTTTGAAGCCAACTAAGAACGGCTTTAATCTCTGCTTTTAACTTTTTAAGTGCAAGTATGTACTTTACTTGAAAAGCAATTCTCGTAAACTTTAAATTAAACAATTACTAGTACAGGTATAACTAGTTACAGGTACAGGCCATTATCACCAACCACCTCCTAACAACCTCGTTGGCCGAGTGGTCGCAAGTGCGACTGCCAGGCAAGGGGTCTCAGGTTCTATTCCCGAGTCGAACAAAGTACTACTGGGTTTAAAAAAATCTCAGTAGTAGCACGGAGTCTGGAATCGTGCCTGGTATAATGACAATAGGCTCATCCCCTATTACTTGGGACTCATAACATCAATTGTGAAAAGTGGGTGTTATATTGTAGAGTGGCGTTAAGTACCGTAATGTGCACCTCTGCCTACTCCTTCGGGGATAAAAAGGCGTGATGTTATATAATGTTAACCTCCTAACTAAAAGTTACTTAGCGTGCCGTAGAATCAAAACTACTCCCTTACTTATACTGTTAGGTGTTACTTATAGGTTGGTGAAAATGAGCCTAAAATTTTAAAATGAAACATCTAAATTCAATACAAATCTCTGTTCCACGAATAAAATGAAATGTAACAAAAGTTGTAACAAAATGTACGCAAGTATGGATATTGTAACAAAGTTAATAAAGATTATCAGAAGGTATATGAGGGGCTTTAAAAATAAAGACTTAAACTGGGCCTGTAAATAACGAGAGGTCGAAAACAGGGCAAAACATTAGCTACACCTGTACGACGTAATTTAGCAAAATAACTTTAGTTTATAAAACAAAATTTTGTATTTAAAATTACTTAGTCGCCTCTTAGGCATCGTTTTTCAACATCTAATTTGTTAAATTAATTTTAAAAACGTAAACAACTATTTTGTTTGTAGTTATTTTTAATGAGATAAAATATTACAGTATAAAGAAAATATGTATACCTAAACTTTTAAAGATTGTGATTGAGTTTATTCTCAGAATTCGTAAATACATTTATATTTTGTTTTTAGTATAAAATGTAAATTACTAAATATTTTACACAGAAAAAGGAGAAGATATAATATTATTATCTATCGTTTCTTTTGACGTATAAAGAACTCTTTTTGGTAAAATTAAACTTATTAAAGACGTTATTATAACATAACATCACGCCTTTTTATCCCTGAACGGGTAGGCAGAGGTGCACATTTAGGCACTTAATGCCACTGTATAATGTAACACCCACTTTTCACTATTTATATTATCAGTCCCATGTAATAGGGGGTGAGCCTGTTGCCATATACCGGGCACATTTCCAAACTCCGTACTACTACTGAGATTTTAAAAAACTGAGTAATACTTTTGCTCGACCTGGGAACCGAATCACTGGGCCAACGAGGCAGTCTTTAATCAACGTAATTATAATAAAAGTATATATAAAGAAGTAAATAAAGGATGACTAACCTGCAAAATTCTATCATACGGCCTCAACAAGCCAACAATATCAGCGGGTCCACCCTTTCGAATTCGGTTGATATACACTCCTCGTTCATACAATCCGTCTGACACTGAGAACCCGTAGTCATCGTAGATGGCGTCCTTGTACAATATGACGTGATGGATAGACCCTCGGGCTGGAGATACTGCTTCTGTGCTGTACAAGCCTGTGCAAATGTGATCGTTAGTCAAAAATATATCAATAAAAGAAAAAACACATACCTCGAACCTTCAGAACAATTTAGGCAATAGCATTTTAAAAGAATAGAATTTAAAAATATGGTATAAACTCAGTCCTTAAAATGTAATACAGCAATGTTTATTATCTAAAAGCACTTGATATTATTATTGTTCATTCTATTTAAAACACTTTAAGCAGAATAATTTAGCTGTAAACACATTACTATGCAAATAATTCCGAATATTTATAAAGCGAAGTTTATAAACTGATGAATATGACGTACAAAATTAATTACCTGGAACTTCATTTTCATATATTGGACTCGTCGAAAATTGGAAACTTGTTCCAGGCACCCCAGGCTTTAAGGGTGATTTCTGTGGCGTTGTCACCGTATATATTCCGTTATTTAAATAATCACTGTCCCAATTCGGTCTTCGTGTTTTCGGTGACACGATCCCATACGGGCCCATTTGAACGTAATCGCATTTACACGAAGACCTTTCCATATTGTGCAATTGACAATCTTTCATGTTTGATGTGAGAATTTCAATTTGTTGGACATCGTCCTCTCTGGTGATGTTCTGTTTATTCTTCAGAGAATTTTCAGGAATGATACATGTGTTTTCATAATGGAACGTCTTCAAGGAATTGTTTAGTGAATAGTTTGGCAGTGGTAAGTCGTTGATGCTGTACGGTGCTGCAGAATTGAAGTTAGAAGCCATGAGTTTGTCTTCATCGGTTGGCGAGTACGGTTGCTTATCCATCATCCTTGTCTTATCCGGCACTGCATATTCTATTACTTCTGAATTACCTATAACGTAAACTGTATCTTATATGAGTGTGATAGTAGGATCTAGCATAGCTCAAAAATTTCAATTTTTAAGAAACAAAAGGTAAATTATGAATCAAAACATAGCAGACATCATCAAAGATTACATATAATGCACCTTTACGTGAGCATCTTACCGCAGTTAGCGCTGGTCCTGACTGGCGTATTTTGATCCCACGACTCAACAGCGCTGTCATTTGATAATCCGGGGCTCGACGTAGAATGACTCGAGTCCCTCGCACTGGATTCTGCACTTTCAAGCGATCCTACACAAGGATTTAAGGATTATTTTTGCATTACATCATATAGTTGAATTAGACATTGAGATTTTGCGTAACAAGATAACTTGTAGCAAGAGACCAAATAGGTCTCTTATATGTACATATAAAAAGTACTTTTTGCACCATATTTAATATAGTTTGGAAAAAGACAAGATTAACACTCACCAGTTACTTTTCTACACAGTTGCAGTTGCACTCTCTGACCACTCTGTTGCAATAGTTTAATGGCTTCTGATAATGGTTTGTTCAAAACACTTTCACCGTTTATTGTGAGCAGTTCATCACCTATTGCTAGTTTACCACATTTTTCAGCTACACCACCTGCAATAATATCATCATATTTAGTGTTATGTCCATGTTTACTGTCAGCTTTGATTATTCTCTTAAGAGTAATTACAATACCTTCAACAAGTCCACTCAACAGAATAGGTTGCGTCACATCTTCGCTTCCTGCTATAGTCAAACCTAATGGACCATTCTCTTGTTTGATAAGTTCCACAGTGAACACTGCCGTATTCCCATTATCATTACTTCCATGACTTCTTTCACTCTCTTTAGCACTATTATTAGGACTGTCTGTATGATGGCCAGAATCTTCACCACTGTGTACAACAGCCTTTATTTCTATATTGCTAAAGCTTTGAAGAGTCAGTTTGGCATTGTGTTTGTGGATGTTAGACCAGTCTTCTGTTAGGTCTCGCTTACGTATTTTTAGGGTTATTATGTCTTCAGGTGAGTTTTGGAGGATGTTGAAGGCCGTGTCCTATAAGGAGAGAAAGATTAAAAATTTGGTCTTAACAAATCACTTCGTTGTTTCACACTAGAAGTAGTACTTATATATCGAAGGTTTTGACCCGATAATTCTCGAATTAAGTTCTTAATTACGTAAATATTGTACGTAATATGTCACAGAAAGGAGTTGAATGAATACATTAATACATAACAAGTGTTCTGATTGATTACACTGACATTGCAATTTGATCAAAGATCGACTGAGTAGTTAACCTCGTCAAGTGAACCAAGTGCGTTTGTATTGAAGGGTATGCCTAACAATAGAACAATAGCATTGATTTGAATTAATGATGTTCGTTTGTAAATGACGGCCCACATACAGTTCATTGGGATGTAAATATTTCACGTTTGCTTGCACAAATAAATATTTACTGGATTAGCTACTTATTTTTAATGATATATAAGTTTATTTTCGTATTCATTTTGGTTCTGTCCTTGTATTTTATCAAATTTGATCTCTCTAAGGTCAACATAATTTTTCAGTCATAAAATATTAGCGCTGTGTTTTAAATAACTGAAAATAAATTAACTTTAAAAACAGTCTACGTTTACCAAAATTAAAGTCACTTGAAATTACTTTCAAGAAAATAGGTAAATTATTTAGCATAATTCTTTGTAGTATCAAAAATGTCCTACATAATTATTTAATTCTAATTAAAACCTATAAATTGCTTGTAAACATTTACCGAAGCTTAAAAAATGATAAATATTGTAATTGACATTCATTATGAGAATTAAAGTGTATACAAATTAATGCTTACCAATGACAGATTATGAAGCGGTTGTCCATTAATTGCAAGAAGTTGGTCCCCTGGCGCAAGTGCTCCACTTCGATGGGCCACAGATCCTGGTTTGATGTCGGATATCACCATAGGTTCTTCATTGCTTAACAACTTTTGCTTGCACCCTGTTCAAATAAAACCTCATAAAAATATCTAAAAGCCATTCCAAATCGAAATTTCAAGTAAGATGGTCATGGGTGGTTAGTAGGGACGATTAATATCTGTATGATATATGCATTGGCTTAGTACGTTAGGAGTAGTAAGCTAACTGATGTAGTCCAACGTACCATGACATGCCTTATGCACGTCTGTTTGGCTAACGCAGCCTGGCTGGCCAGCCATGTTGCTTAGCGTTGTATCTGCCAAAAAGACTTTGATGACTTCATAACCCTTATTCCGTCAACTTTACAAAACTGTTAGCAAATTCGTGCATGAATTAGAGAACAGTTAGACGTCCTAATTATCTTGTTCACCGACTCAACTACGGCTAAAGTTTAACTAAGAGATAGCTCCAAAAAGGACAGTTATGCTTTAGAACTGTGAAGTCAATTTACTTCTGAACATCAGTTTGTTTTAGTTATCCTTACGTCCTTAAGTTTGGAAAATCCAACCTAATGTTTAACTTGGTCTTTGTGGATTTATGATAATAGTATTTCATGGTTCTATTAGTTTAATAAAAATAACAAAAGTTTATTTTAATTTTATTAATGAATAGGTATGTATGCACCATTGCTTTCATGTTTGATATCATAAAACAAAATAGAGAATCTAAAATAGTAGACACTCGACAGAATTAGCTCTCCAATTAGTACGAGAGAAATGATTTAAGATTATGAATGAAGTGTGAAGCAGAAATAATTAGATAGAAACATCAAAGAACAGACCTGTTATAGTTACTCCTAACCCTGCAGTGGTTTTAGCCAGCTTCACGTTGAACACTCCACTGGATGCTTCAATAGTATTAGGCATACTGAATTCCACGTTCAAGGTCAAATATTTAGGGTTATGGGAATCATTTCTTCGCTGCAGGATCTCGTTGGCAACATCCATTGTTAAATTCTCGTGACCGTTAATAGACATCACTCTGTCTCGAAGTTGAAGACAACCAGATCTGGAAAGGAGAAAATAAGATGGAATTGGCGTTTGTTTTACAGTGTTTTAGTGTTCGTTTTTATTAATGGACGGTATTTTCGTCCTGTGAGTGTCGTTACGGGAAGCCTAATTAGCTCCCTCCACAATCATCGAACTCCTAATCCTCAAATTCTTAACCCCCAAAAGGCCGGCAATGCATTTTTAAAGCTTTTGGAGTTTTGCATCTCCAAAATGGCGGCGCCAAATGCTTACTATCAGGTGATCCATTTTGTTCGCTCGTTTGCCGCTTAAACCCATAAAAATAAATTATCAACCATTCTATCTCTCTACCATTTACACATAAATACCTGTAAGCCGGTGATTGAGAAGCAACATGTGATATGATAAGCATAGCATTCTCTTCATGAACCGCTAAACCAGAGCTCTGACCAGGTGGAACTTCCAGTTGTATGTTCAGAGATTCTGTTCTGCATACTCCCATGCTCATGTAATTTTGTTGACTATCTGTTGGAAAAAAGACAAAAACTTTAAATATTCTTGCAGGATTCAAATAACTTTCTTAAGTAGGTATTCGTTACTAATCACATTATTTTCGGATATAATAGACCCCATACCATCTAATATGATCCAAAATGGTTCTACCTATCCTAAGCAATGCAAATTATTTACAATTAACCTACCGACATTAGAGTCACATTTAGCGTCACTACGTCACCCCCTAACTAGGCTATTACAACCTCCGTCCAATTAACATAATGTTTTAGACCAACACGCGAGGGACAGACAAACTAGGAAGTTGCAGGTCCTAAACAAATATCAGGGGAAGATTGTACCAGTACCGAAGTCTGTTTTTCTGGAACAAATTAATTACTGCGCCAGTACGCCTATCCTTTTCGCTTTGTTTGGTAAAGTTCGCCTGATTTTGTTTACGATTACTCTGTTTGGGCACCGGTGCTTATAGTGGAAGGAAATTGTGGTTTCATTAACTTTGCGGACAGATTTTTGGGTTCGGTCTGTAATTAGTGGTGTTTTAGTTCTGGGACTGTTGTGTCAATTTGTTTGCTGTGATTAGTGGTCTAGTTTGATTTGTGGGAGGATTAGTATAGTTTGACATTTATAGTTCAAATATCAAATATAACAAGGTTTTCTAAGTAATAAACATCTGACTGTACTGTGTTTATCTACCTGAATCAAAATTAAATTCTATTCAATTAAATTCAATCTACTGAAATGTATCAACGTCGACGGCAACATTTTTTCTTGTCTATGTGGTGTATTAACCTCGTCTTGATTATTAACTTCGCTTATTTATTAAATATAAAGTACAGAAAATGATAACGAAATAAATCTGTACAGTAGCTGCACACTTACAGTTCAATACATCACCAGTTGTTTGATACGTGAAGAATCTCTCGAAGTAATAATAAAAATATAATAAGCGAGCGGACGTCGAAGAGATCCGACCTAGTTCCGATACACTCCACTTGAAGTATGGATGGATGATTTATTGCCTTTAATTTATTAAGCTTGTTAACTATGATTCAGTAAAGTCCGGCTATAACATTTCAATTAGTTTGAGCTAATTCCTATTTTAATATTTGAAACTTCAATACATAATGAATTTTTGAAATGTTATTAGTTTACAGTCATTTTAGTGAAAAGCCGCCTAAAGTCGCCGTATGTGTAAGAATGGTTGCAAGTTCGTCTCTAAATCTAGAGGTATCCTAGCATTTTCTGCAGAATGCTGTTCAAGTAACATAATTTTGTCACAGGTTATAGGAACTTCGAAACTCCTGATAGATTTTGCTCAAAATGATAATACAATCGATATCCCATCCAATATCTTACCATAATCGTCTTGTAAACCTAGTTTGGGCATCGAACTCTGTCTGTAGTTCCTCTGACGATGCTTCTTCGCGTTCAACGTTGATGTACCAGATATTGAATTTTCTGAAACAAAGTGTAAACTTATAACGATGGCATTTTGTTCAGTGAACGAACATTTTATACGTAGTCTTGAGTCTTGACATTCTTTTAGATATTTTTTGTTTTCATTTCAGCGCTCTAATGACGTTGTTTTATTGAAAGTTGCATAACTTAAATGTTATTAAGAGTTTAGGATTATTTTTATTATGGAAGAGTATGTAAAATGTTGATTTATAGTATTGAGTTGCTGGTCCTTATTGCAATTAAACATATCAATTATTTATGCCTGATTTTTCTGTACCTTTTTATATAGACATGACTGCAAAAGCACCAGAGTGCTTTTAGTAAAACAACCTTAGTAATAATCGAATGAAACATCATTCGTATCCCCTCTCATAATATTTTACGACAGCACTTACATTAACCAAACACATCGATGTTTCAACTTCCAAAAATACGTAATAAGTCATGTGACTCGAAAAGTCCTGCCAGTAGCAGAGTAGACTGAAGTTTAAACTTGAATTAATGTACCTGCTCTGTACATTAGTGGAAGGATATTTCAGACATCAGAACTTAAGGCTTTTGAGTTATACGATCCAAGTTTGATGCTCATGTACCTATTCGTTGCTTGTTAGTCGCGGTTCAAGCGACAAGAGGCAAACACATAAAGACGTATGCAAAAGTCCAAGAAAGTTTTCCACATAAAAGATGGTTTGAATCGACGATTTCTAGTTTCAAGTGATTTTGAACTGTGGGAATATTTGTGGTGAGGTTCTGAAGAACCTTTCCTGCTTAGTTTGGAGTTAGTTCCGATAACTGTTTGAATATGATTTTCTAAAGTTATTTTGTAATATCGTTTATTAAATTAATTTGTATGATCAAAGACTGGTTCGGCTTCAGTGTTATGTGATTCTATAATATATAATTTATAATGTTTCATATTCTTTGAGACTCCAAAAATTACTTAGAACCTCTTAGTTACCAATTTTATCGACTAATTTTCACGATGCATTCATCATCATGAATATATCCGAGGTTAACAAGCTCCTGACTTGGAGAGCGCTAGTTCCCAAGTTCGGTCATTCGGCAAGTTCGCCCCCGGCTTGCGAAGAATTAACTCAGTAATTATTATACCTTCAGAATAGCTTACGAAAGGTGCTATTGCAGAAATTCTAAGAGCTGGGAAAAGGTATTAAAGTTTCCTAACGTATTTTGCCTCCAGTGTTTTGTGAATAATTTTCGACATCTGTCCGTGTTGGTGCCATGAATATTCTTGGAATAACGCGCTTTGGAATTACTGCGAATTGTAGTGCTGCATGAGAAAATAATATGCCGTTTTTTGGTAGGACTATGCAGATCTGCGCGTATTTAAATACTTTGACTGCTTTGTTGGACAAATGGTTGTAGACGTAAAAGATATAGATCGTACAGGAGCCCAGGTTGGTCATAAGGTACTTAAATATATTTGGGAAATTTATAGATTTTTTAATGTTTTTTTTTTCTTAATAAGCAGCGTGGAATGGTGTCATAGATAATCCTGTCACAAATGTGAACTAAAACTCACAGCTTTTCTCAGTATATTCACGTGAGTAACCCGCAATTTTTAGTTAATTTAGTATGTTTCACGATAGTTATAATTAAACATGTAACAAATGAGATAGCATACAATTACTCACCTCTAGTGAACCTTCCACAATGGCCGACAACGTGTCGTGGAGCAACATGAAGCCTCGTGAATCCTCCCTCACAGTTCTCAAGGTAGCACATCACTTCCTCAGCCGTATAGTTGTTGCCGTCAATCACGTGGTCATCGAATGCAAGGATCTGATCTCCTGGGTGGAGAGCACCGCATCTAGAATCAAAATAGTGGTTACGAATGTGGAACTAATTGTAATTTTTTTTTGAATATATATTTACTAAATTAAATTAGGAATTAATTAATTTACTTTTCATAATGTGTGGTAAAAAAAGAAAGGTTAATTAAGATATTGAAAGAGAAGGGTTAGGCTGACCTATCCTTTATTTCTTTGTTTACTTTTCAAGCTCTTGTATTTTAAAGTCAAAGACAAACGTTTGCGACTAACTAGCGGACAACGTTATTTTAGTATTTTTTGTCTGACGCCAGCAATGGATATTAAACGCAATATATGTAATCTATGGAACCTTATTTATGAGTATAATTAAAATATGATTTACATTATTCTTATTAATTACACCACACGTTAAAACCCGTAGGCTTTGATTGATAATTCAAAGGGAATGTTTGCGTAAGCAGTAATTACCGATATGTTTTGATAGACGCATTGCATACACTCAAATTAAATTGTAATAACACTTGAATATAGGTATCATTAATTATGCTGGTTTCAACTGTTATGCAAATTTAAGTTTAATATTATTAACAGAATACGGTTCAATTTTTGAAATTGCGATAGTTGAAAAGCATGTAAACAATTCGGTTACATTCTTACTTTGTTGTAAATAAAGTTAACAGCCTCAAAGAGTCATAACAGTTATCAAGAAAGTTTCATAAGCGACTCGGATTCGTAAACAAATTACCAACTTGTACAATTGAAGTTTTAAACTATTTTAATTCAAGCAAAATGAGTTTCTTAAAACATTAGCCGAACTTTAAAGTGTACCGGAATATTAGTGAGGTATGAAGTTTGGAGTTCAGCGCCATCTAGTTGGGAAACTTCGTAATTACCTACGAGAATTTTCGAGGAAAATACGCGGTGTTTTGCAATGAATAAATAAGACCAGCTTTTTATGATTTTTTTAAATGTGATTTGTTGCGTAATTGTTACACCTCAAGACGAGATCACTTGAACGTAAATGAAGTCGATTGAAAATAGTCATTAAAATCAGTTCAAAGATTTAAGAGCAGCCAGTAACATACACACAACACAATTAAAACAAATGTGGATAATAATTTCCCCAGTCATAAAAACACTTCTTCATTTCTCTAGGGGATACTTAGTAAAGAAAAATACTCGTAGGTATTAAAGTAAACAAACTTTTTTCTAAACGATGAATAGAGTGTAATTAATTTTTTCCCTCTCTAATTGATTAAAATAATCGCCCCAGAGGAATGGGAATTGGAGTATTCATTTGACTTTTAGATTTTATTATTAAAACCGAATTATTTCTAATTTTATACCTTTGTAGCTATCAAAACTCTTAAAAAAGAAATAACAAAATAGTTCAATATCAGTTTATTCTAGTTATTTTTATCGCAGAATTCGGATCAATCGGATTCGTAGAACGCGGAGGTGAAGCTTATATTTTTGCTTAATCCCTGGAATAGAAACGGTAATATCGGATAGTTGCTATAGAAGTACGAATATAAAAAACTTTGTCTATTTAACAGACAATATTATACTTTGTTCTGGAATACACAAGATCAATTTGATAGAACATAACAACAACATAACATCACTCCATTTATCCCAGGAGGGGGTAGGCAGAGGTGCACATTACGCCACTGTACTCTCAATGCCACTGTACAATGTAACACCCACTTTTAACTATTTAATGATGTTTTGAGTCCCATGTAATAGGGGGTGAGCCTATTGCCATATACCGGGCACATTTCCAGACTCGATTTTTTTAAAAACCCAGTAATACTTTGCCCGACCCGGGAATCGAACCCGAGACCCCGGTTGCCCGGCAGTCGCACTTGCGACCACTCGGCCTACGAGGCAGAGATGTATTTTTTTTTAAGGGGGGGAAATCGTCGAATGGCTTCGCCTACCTGGGTGAGGCGAGAGGGACTATCAGAATCTTACTGACTAAAAACCACTCCGTTCCTACTCCTGCACTTCGAGCCGGAGCTCTAGTAACCCGTTAAGTTCTAGTTGATTCTTTGTAAAATGACAGGGATGGTACGATATTTAAGTACAACTTCATACTATTGAAGATGCGAAAATGTCTAATTAACTTTTGTCAATCTATAATCCTATACTTCACATAACTAAGGATACCTAACTAAGGACATGCTTTTAAGTCTTGTCAAAGAATGAAATATAATCTCTCTGAATGGATCGAAGGTATCAAAACACGTACCTACATTGTTAGAACTACTCATACTAAAAGGCAAAGAGCATGACAAGACAATATTGAATCTATTCCTTTTAAAAACACAATTGGGCGTTGACCCGGTATAAGACATCGAAGGTTGACATGACAAGGGTCAAAGATCCCTTAGGCGCGAAGGGTTTCCATAGAATGACATACGAAGATTCATGATATTATTTTTAAATTGTCTGTGCTGTTTTTATATGGGGATTTTTTTTGTTTGATCTGTTTCTACGTATTTTTTTGGAGTCAATACTCTATCTACGGTTTGTATGTAGGCTTGATGAGTAAGTATATTTGATTAAACAATATCCAAAATTATATATTTTATTTTTATTTTTAAGGGACAAGTCGACCACAACCTCACCGGAACATTGAAATCCGGTGTGTTCCAGGAACATGAATAACTCTTGTTGTAATGGCTTGGTTCCCATAACGATATAAATAAGAAGATATTATAAGGAAAAAAAATCCATATTGCAGAATATTCTTGAATTACAAGTGAAAGTTTAAATCTGTCTTTATGATTTGTGTGAAGTGTTATTGAAATTAAACTATATTTGAAACAACCAATATAAGACATCTTTTGATTTTTTATTTCTTATTATAAGTATTAGGCAGTGCTTATTGAAACATTTGCAGGTATTTCTGTCATGTTAAGAATGTGGAAGTTTAAGAGACTTTCTTTCGTCAGTTACTTGTGCCATAATTTTAATTATCTTACTATAATATTATAAATGCGAAATTTTGTGAGAATGTATGTGTGTGTTTGTTACTCTTTCACGGCAAAACGGCTGAAGGGATCGAGATGAAATTTGGAACATAGGCTAATTTTTATCCCACAGAAATGCAGGCGAAGCTGCTGGCAGAAGCTAGTGATTGTATAAAATTCTTCTACATAAAAGAAATTTTTGTTTATGAAGTGTAATGTTTTAATAGGTAATATTTTCTTTGCAACTTGTCCCACGTTGTACGCCAAAGTGCATTGAGCGGAAACTAGGGTAAGCCGGTATCTTCTAATCAATTTAAATATCGATAACTCATCAGTTATGGTCCTGTCACTAATTATTATGTGCTACTATTGCAACGCAGGGTTATTGACCTACAGCTTTGTTTAAAGTTAACTCCGATAAAAATACATTGAATACTTTTTGTAATCAACTTTTTATAAAGATATTTCCAGAACTAATTTCGTCTTTAAAATAGTAGTAGTAAAGTGCTAATTAGTTTGAGATGGCAATTATTATTATAGTATGGTAATTGTTTCTGTCTACACCACAATCCACAACATAAGGTTCTAATTTGATTGTATGTATGGTTGAAGTAATTAAATCGTGTTGTCTAGTTTACTGTAGTAATGAACAAGATAATAACGTGTCATTATCTCATATTTTATTAACAAGTCTTAGGTACTACAATCAAGTTTATTAAATTTCTCAATTATTTTTTTCTATTTTGTTATTCTAACTTTCTAACTATCCAGATTATCTTAGATTTTATTATATACAACGTACACAATATCAAACATTCAGATATACATTACGGAACAAAATATCATAAAAATTCAAATTGTTAAAAATAATTATGGATTCAGCTGTACCACTCACCTATCACTAATACTGGCTGGCAATATGCTGTCAATATAAATCGCATTGCAGGTCCCAACCCGCTGATACGTATCTGAACCAGAACTGTACACATCGTCTGTACACCTCTGATTAGTCAGGAACAGGCCCAGGTCCTCATTACAAGGCCTTTCAATCTCTATGAGGAGTGGTCCAGTCGCCAATTTTACTGATTCCATTATGGACACGTCATATTCTATCGTGAGGCTGGTCACTTGTGGACAGTTTTGCAGGATATTGTGGACTTCTGACAGCGTTTTGTTTGTAAGAGATACCTGAGAAGAAAGAAGATGTTTTGTTTTTAATTATTATTTAAACACAAAACTTACGAGAGATATTAGTTTAGTATTATGTCTTTTGGTTGATGTTAATGTCAAATTCTTTAAGATATTTACGTAATGTCAACATAATTGTGGAAGAGCCATGTATCGGCACGAATGGGCCGGCTCGACCGGAGTAATACCACTGCCTCACAGAAAACCGACGTGAAGCAACGCTTGCGTTGTGTTTCGTCGTGTGAGTGAGGTTATCGGAGGCCCAATTACCCTCCCCTTCCCCAATCTCTCCAATCCCTGAATCCCCATCGATCCTCAAACCCCTAATCCCCGAAAGGCCGGTAACGCACTTGTAACGCCTTTGGTGTTCCAGGTGTCCATGGGCGACGCCGATTGCTTACTATCAGGTGATCCGTCTGCTCGTTTACCGGCTTATGCCATAAAAAAAATAATTTGGATATTTTCTAAATCAACGAAAATGTACCTAATATTACTGCTGTTTCTATTTCTGAATCTTTAAAGAATTATACTTACATGATCAACCTTTAACAGCCTGTCTCCAGGTTTTATTCTAGAAGTATTGTACGCAGCACCTCCAGGTCTCACATGGGTTACTACCAGCGGTTGGGCGTCTAAAGACCGACTGTTCAACACTAGATCTGCACTAGGAGCTGAGTTCTCTGGTAGACCACCACGGATGGTGATGCCAAGGGAGCCATTTATCTTCTCTACAGGAACCTCCGCTAGCTTCGTTGTGATGTATAGGGAATTTTGGGATGCTGGAACAAAGAAAGATTAAAGTGATTATTTCGTAAAAAATATTAGAAAACGCTTAGCAAAGAGATCGTATTTACTACCATGTAGACATCTGATTATCATTAGTATTATTTTATTAGAAGACCTTATAAATTTAACTGCTCTTTGTCTCGTTGGCCGTGTGGTCGCGAGTGCGACTGCCGGGCAAGGGGCCTCGGGTTCGATTCCTGGGTGGGGCGTATTACAGGATTTAAAAAAACTCTCAGTAGTAGCACGGAGTCTGGAATTGTGCCCGCTATAATCTGAAAATAGGCTCACCCCCTATTACATGGGACTCATAACATAAATAGTAAAAAGTGAGTGCTACATTGTACAGTGGCATAATGTGCACCTCTGCCTACCCCTTCGGGGATAAAAGGCGTGATATTATGTTATCCTTATAAATTTAATTTATATAAATTCCAAATATTATTTAAACAACAAAAGATAATTACATCTGTTAATTCATTTTAAAACAAGAGAAAGTTTAGTAAAACGGAAACTTATTCAACCGCGACCATGAGCGGTTCCCTAAAGTAGTGGAAAATAAAAGGAGGTAAGCGCAGCCGCGAAATTATTCGTTCAGTGGCTGGTTACCGCTTCGCTTACATACACTTCTGTTTTGGGAATACAAATAGTATTTACTGGAATGAAAGTTTTAAAGCAAAACCTGCTACGAGAATGCAAATTCGAATTGAAAATTTATTACAAGGACATTGTTTAAAATAAATTGTGTAGAGAGAAAGGAAGAGCACGAATAACGGAAAAATATTCACCAGGAAACCCAAGTCATAGTATAGTAAATATGGCTTTATTCGTGAAAATCATATAAGGTGACTTCTGTTCTTCATAATATTTGAAGAAGGCGTTATCCTTGGAAATAAGTAGCTATGTATATTTGTCTGTAACAACTAAGAAAGTCAACGAACAGGATTAAAGAGAAGGATCATCTCCCTGGTCTATTTCGGTGTTCATCCGACGTCGCATCGGTAGTTCTTGCTCAATGTGACAGGTGGCGCTAAATATAGCCCTTGTTGGATGTTAGAATGAATTTTAATTATACTATAAAGATAGTCATCACCATGGTCACGAAGGCAGAATTAAATAAGATAGATAAACTTAAGGTTTTTTTTAAGAGGGAAAGATATTTCGTGACTTTTCCTGCTTTAGGTGAGGCGAGAGAAGTTTAGACTATTAGTGACTAAAAACCACCCCGTTCCTTCTGCTTCGAACCAGAGCCCCGGTGTGCAAGGTTGACCGCAGTTCCGGAAACTCAGTCTTGAGTTTACTACTAATAATGGACTAATAGGACAATATTAAACGTAGGTTTTACTTAGTACCTACTGTCCTACTCCTGGGTTTAAGATTCCTATTAAAAGTTATTCCAAAAGTAAGATGGAATTGCTCAAACAGACTAAATTGCTCCAAAACCGCTAAATTACAAAACATTGGAGCTTTTAAACTAAACCTATAAGTCTCGACTCAGACATTTTTTAAGTAAACTTTGAGCTATATTTCAAATATATTGGCCTGAGCAAGAACTAAATAGATTAATCCTGAAATTATCCAGACTTTGAACTTAGTTTAGTAAGACTAATGACTGGGAGAACAGAAAGAGGTGTGTCAGTAGCAAAATTAATTGTTCCCTCGTCGCGTACATGATGTGCAAATGTTAAGTTTAAACTGTCAAACACCAAGCGGTCACCGGTGACCGCAACCTATTGTTCTATAATTGTGTCTACAAAACCGGTACTCGACGAGTTAAATCGTAATATTTTAGTGGTACATGTCTTTTTAGCTCTGAAGATTGTGCTTAAAATGAACATCCACTTTCTGCAAGTCTTTTCTATCATCTCCATGATGTTGGAGTACATTTATTAGACTTCTTGATACTGAGATTAGTTACAATTTCGGAATAGAATACATTTATAGCTATAGAATTCGTTAAAATTTTACACACTCGCAGTCAATTAAACATAAGTGATGTTAAAGAATATATATCTAAAATAAATTGAGACAGATAACAAAACACCGAAAAAGCAAATCAAACATTATAGCAAAACGCTAAAACAAAAACGATCCAATTTTGTACAAACGAATGTTCCAATTCCAATAACATAATTTTATTCGTCTATACAATTTTTATGAAAGAATTATTAAACTCAATGAAATCCTTATGACGGCCAAAGGACATCTGCGCAAAGACCTTTATATTAAAGCAATACTAATACTATTCTAGGCTAAATATTTAGACTGAAATCACAATAGGCTATAAATAACGTATTTAGATATTGAATATGTGAATCCTTTGTGGGTTGAGTCTTAATATATTTGGTCCACCGGCCTTAGTCTTTAGTGAACATGTATAAAATGATAAGGAATGTTATGAACGTAAAACATAGCTTGGTTAATGCTTCACAAAACGAATTTTGAATTTCTAATAATACATTAAAAATAGCTTGCTGTGAAATTACTCATAGGTAAAATATGCCTCGATATCACAATAACAAGAATTCTTTGAAAATTTATTTTAATATGATAATTACGAGTAAATTTAATTAATACCCACAATAAATACTAAAATAATAATAAGAACTAAGTAATATTAACATTACTAGCTGTTAGCCGCGACTTCATTCGCGTGAAATTATTCATATTTCTTGTTAATTTATACTTTTTTGCTACAACGTGTTGATTGGCGAGGCGGATTTGAGAGCTAGTATGAATTGAAAGATTTATTGTCTACTCAAGGTTTAGTGTCATTAAAATTAATTAATAAAACGAAATAATCTCCGTAATCCGAATTTTGTGGATATATGTTGTCGGCTAGAAATCGATATTTTTTATGTTTTGTTATTCAGGTAATGTTTCGATCGAGTCAACCGTACCTCTTGACGAAATTAGTAATACAGATAAATACATACCTTAAAAATAATAATAAATGTTAACTTAAGCTTAAAATTCTCTGAAAAAACAATGTAACTAGGTAAGACAAAATACAACAAAAATGTCGTTCATATTTAAATAAATTAATAAACTTCAATTCAATAACCATTTACTTTAAAACAACACTGTCTCTTCAGATAACTCCTCGATCAATTACAAAAACACTAATTTTACGAACAATATCGGTAGAGACAAATTCAATTTGCTAAGACGAAATTTGACTACCCTGAATAATGTATTATCACAAAAGATAACTCCGTCCACCATTAGTATAAAGACAGCCATCTTAATTGAATATTGAATGTTTTATAATACCTCGAAATTCTTTGACAAACTTCTATCCCTAAACTCATTAATAGTCTGTCAAAATTATCTAGCAAGCACTTAAAACAAGTATGGCGAAGTTAATTTTATTATAGATATTTCTGCTCTAAAACCAACGATGAATTCGAGGAACAATTGACTTTGAATTGTATAAATTGTAACAACATTTATTACGATTTTAGATTGTGAATATCTTTGTGAGATTGGTTTGTAGTTGTGATAATAATATCGTGTTATCTTTGCCAGTAATGAATTTAAAGAGATTTAATAGCATAACTTCAATTCTAGTAATACGACGGAACATACATTTTAGAACTATGAGACCATGGTACCTAAGAAGTTTCGGTTTTGGTTCCTGATTTCTAGCAATTATTTTAAAATCAAAGCATTTATTTCAATTTAATCCTTATTTAGGCCTTTTTGAATTGTCAGTCCGTCTGTCTGTCTACTAGTAAAGCTAGGCACTCGTTCAAAAGTGTTGTTTATGGGGGGAAAATCATCAAAGCCGGTGCCCCGGTGACGCGTTAAGTCCTCCACGGCTCCGTATCGGCATCAGCCCTACTGGACCCCATCCATGGTGGTCTGATGGCTCTTTGAGGCGCGATTCGCTTAACGTCGGGTCTGGTTCTGGTCAGGCGGCGAGCTATCCATGCTAGCCGTCTAAAGTGAAGTTTCGAACGGAGAAAAACGAGCAAAAATTTTTATTGTAACTCTTTAAAATATTGTTTTTACAATCTCATTGATACATTACCTATCTGATGTTCTACCTATTGTATAAATGTGTATGTGAGAACGATGTCACAAGAAAGCGACGTCAAAAAATAACGGGACTACGAAATCAAGTCCTAAAATGAAAGCTATGAATGATTCTTCCTAACGTGGTGCCCACATATTTACACTTACAATTTTGTTCTCCATTGTAAGAATAAGTATCTACCTACCATTATCATTACAAAGTTTCTTATTCTCATAGCACTATCGTATTACACTTTTATTAGTTACCAGCTATAATAATATAATAATATTTAAACAATTAATAAACATAGGTACCCAATATATAACGGTGATAGCCGCTCCTCGTACCTGTTTAGTGCGGAAACTAATGCAATAATTTAGTTTTTATTCTAGCATAAATGTTAATTTTAATGGCTTATTAAGACAGAATATGAAAGGGTAAAAATTAACCGGTACTGAAGTAAAAATATATTACTATTTCTCTTTATTTACTTACTAATATCTCTCACGAGTATTGTTCTAATTCTGAAACCTAGTAATTGAGCTACGTCTCTAATTACACTGTTTACTGCAGAAAGTTGTAGGTTTCAGAATTATATTATGTAATTTATTCAATAACTAGCTCATTACTTATTAATCATTTATTAAATACTAGTGACCCGCCCCGGCTTCGCACGGGTGCAATATGCATGTATTATAAATACAAACCTTCCTTAAGAATCACTCTATCTATTAAAAAAAACCGCATCAAAATCCGTTGCGTAGTTTTAAAGATCTAAGCATACATACGGACATACAGCGAAAGCGACTTTGTTTTATACTATGTATTGATTACTGTGTTTTTAAACAATATTGTCAGTGGTATTACGGAGTCTAGAATTGTGCCTGGTGTATGACAATAGGCTCACCTTCTATTACATGGGACTCATATCGTAAATAGTGAAAAGTGGGTGTTACATTGTACAGTGGCATTAAGCGCCTTATGTGAATCTATGTCTTCCTCTTCAAGGATAAAATGCGTGATTCATTCATTATTAATCTCGATTCATAACTATGTATTCACAAAAAGTAGACATAGATATAGAATATAATAGAATATCACTTAAATAATATTTTTATTATAGAAAATAGACTACTGACAAACCATAAGCAAAATAGTTTAATATTATTTGTTTTGGAATCTATAAAGAGGAGAATATCCTCTTTATAGATAAATGAATATTTATATTACGAATACAGATAAGTTTGCGTGCTTTTGAAATCAATCTCAGTTTCTTATTTCCGACATTGCCTCGGGGTCTGCAAAATATATTCGCCTCCTAAGTTAAACAAAGTGATGGAGATAAAAAGATTTTGTTTATATTAAATATTACAGGTAAACGGATAAGATGGTTTCTTTGTTCCAGTGTAAAAATAATCCAAAAATATATTATACAAGGTTTAAAGACTAAGGGATTAAATTTTGTTCATAAAAACAGCGAATTTTTCTTTGTTCCTTAAAATTTTTAGTATTTTTATACAAACAATATTCTGTTTAATATTCTAGGCGTAAAATGTGGTTTGTTTTTGAAATTAAGTTTTTTGTGGTTACATTTTTAGTTAAAGAGTGATTGAAATAAAATAAAAAAGGTAGGTAGGTGTTCGAATACAAAAGTAAATAATAATGATCATTATTCTGTTTGTATATTTAATCTTTGAATGTTTAGAATATGATTTTAAGTGTTTCTACTTGTTCACTAAAACAATTTTCTGAGAATTCTAACGTCAAAATTCGCAGAAACATCTACTTCAGCTAAAAGATCACAGAAATTTATTTGACTAAGTTCAATAGATAATTCATATATTTTAGGAGAAAAATGGATCCTCAAAGCGACAGACATGTCATGTTCCCCATGTTTTGGGAGTAACAATTTGAATCTTATGGCCCACCTTTTGATAACTGAATTATGTGATCGACCTTAGAATCAATGTCGAAACTTCTTATTACATGTCAACGTACATAATATTTATATGTGAATAATTGAGTAAGTATGCAATATCTTTTATACCAGTAAATTATTATTTATGTATTATATTTATGTATGTATTATAAGCCTACTTACGACGGCACGGTTGGTGCGACGACTGAGCAACCGGCTGCCACGCAACATGTCGCAGGTTTGATTCCCGCCCGGAGCAACTCTTTATGTGATCCACAAATTATTGTTCCTGATCTGTTTGTGAACTGATATGTTGCTTGTAAACGACATGACAATACAGGAGAACTAGAGTACAGCAATGTTTTTCTTAAAAAAAATTAGTACGTCCCACGAAAGATATAATATCATTTATATATTTCAATTTCATAGTACGTAAAGACTACGTTTCATAGCTCAATGATCAAAAATATTACTTGGAATTCATAGTAACTACTCGCACAAGTATATTGTAGAATTCAATCAAGTTTCCTATTTATTTTTTTGTTCGAAGACATTCTATGTCATAACATGTTAACAATATTATATTATCTGAAGACTAGGTCGACATGTTATTGATTAGGTTATAGATAAAAGGAAAATGGAGGACGGTTGACATGTGAACAAGTATTGAACATATTACTATTAGTAGGACAATGACATTGACTTGTAACATGTGACATTTGGGCTAAGTCGGTTTAATGATGAATGTAATACAAACAATATTGTATGGAAGTATTATTTTTTTCTTGCAAAAAACTATCGCTAAACAGGCTAATTTCATTGGAATTTCTATACGGCTTACTCATGTAAACGAATCTAGGAAAGGTCTACTGATTTCAAGTCATACCGGGGCTTTTATTCATGAGCAGCGTGCTCGAAGGAAGTTCATATACCGGTGCACTGTTAATGATACATGCATTTACTACAGTAACCTTGAGACTGAGATTTTCTTTTTCTGCTCTTTCATAGACACCATTACTATAATAGTACTTACCATAATTAGGCATGTAATATTCAACCTCCAACGACGCTCTTTCTTCCACATTGTCAAGGAGTCGTAACACCTCATCATTGGTCAATCTTGCTGTTGATATGCCGTTAACGCTGCAGATCCTGTCTCCTGGAGCCAGTCGATCTGATTCATGGGCCACTGAGTCTTTTGTGAAACCCACTATTGATGGTACAATCCCAGGTTCCGAACGTCCTGTGAACAAGGAAAATCTTCAATTAATTTTCATCACTTTAATTAAAATTATATGCTAAGACTTAATACACAAACTCAATTAATTTAACATGTTTGTTATTTTAAGAGAATATTTCCTCTACCATTCTTCCAGTAGAATATAAATGAGTTCTTATATTTATCTGACAATATCTCACGACAAGGTTCATTGAACCACTTCACTTAAAATTCAGCTCATACGCAATTGACATGGTTAAGCAGAAAAGAGAACGCATTACTCGAAAAAAGTTATTAGGCTGAACAAAAACCTTGTCAGCCTAAATATATGTACAGGGTACACTCCACCCCACAAGTTCTAAACGACGTACATAACAATACAGTTACAATGATGCGAACTTTGAAGTGCTACTGTATGGGCTGGCCGTGCTAACTGAGTCATAAACATCTTGCTGTTTGAGCCTTCATAAAAGGTTCAAAATGGCTCGTAAATATGAAATGGCACTCACGAGCGGTCATTCACTATGGTGTTCACGATGTAAAATTCCTAGTTTTTGCGAAGTGGAGCGCCCATTTTAGTATCCAAACTTTTTAGAGCATCCAATTTTGGAAGGTATTGTTTTTTTTTGTTCCGCTCTCTCTGAATGTTTTGGTCTATATTATATTGTGTGGCTTTAGTTTGCGTGTTGGCAATATAAAAGCGATTGCCAGACTATTGTTTTTCTTTCTGTAGAAACAAAATCCAAAGCAAAATTTTACTTTGAACGATTTTACTTTACAATGATTACTTATTTATTTATAAAAAACAACAAGGTCACATGGATAAAAATAAATAGCGAAGGTTTCAGAAAGTTTATACTTTCACTGTTTATTTTTAAAACATTTCATGTTTTGTTTATAAAGCAACCCATTACAACTTTTGAAAATTTTCCTTATTTACAAAAGTATTTAAAATAACAACGAAATTAAATTACAATACAAAAAGAAAACAAGATTATTTATTTTAAGGTAGGTAGCAAAAATAAATGCGAATTATAACAATAAGTTCCTTGCAGCATAGTAACGGATAAATGCCAAATCAGACTGAGGGACGCAATCAGGGAGGGACGTGATGACGTGGTCTAGTGTCAATCACCGGAGAGCCTGACGTAGGAGATAATTAATATAAATTGAGCTAAGTCAAAGTTTCTGAAGTTACAAATTATAACTATTATTGTTACTAAGTACTTACTAAGCTAGGCTTTTATATAGATCATGGTTAAAATCGTTCTTTGTTATTATTGAACGGGGTGGGCAGATTTTAAACAGCTTTTCTTTTTTTTTAGTACTTAAAAGGTCGACTTGTCAGAATGTCTGTGGCATTATATCCAACTTCATATAGTGATTGTTTTAGTATACTAAGTTAAACCTTTTTAATTTTCTATCTTTCTTTATAAATAACATTGGAGTGTTTATATCGAAATAATCGTATTATACTACGTGCATATGAATATACATACGATACCTATACCAAAATAATATTTTAAAAAACTTTTGTCCGTGTGTTTGTCTGTTTGTGCTGGCTAATCTCTGAAATGGCTGGACCGATTTTGACGGGACTTTTACTTGCAGGTAGCTGATGTACTAAGTAAGAGTATAGTATATAGGAGTAGGGTATATTCATTTTAGAAAATTGAAACAAAAAAAGTTATGTCCTAAATTCATATTCTACGCGAAAAAACGCAGACAACAGCTAGTTTAAATTAAGACTTGAATGACTAATGAAATCATAAGTACAGACACGATTATGCAGGAATTTTATATGCATATTTAACCCTCATGACATTTTTCTATAACAAATACATTCCACTCAACATTTACCTCAATTTCTGATTTGAATAACAACGATAAATAAATATTCTTAAAATATTACATTTCGATAGAAAAACAAACGATTTGCTCGGTCTCAGTGTCACACCCACGTCAAGGGATTTATATATTCCCATCAATATAAAACTCTAACTCTTTATGTATTTGTTATCCAACAATATATTTGGTATGTTGCCTTGACACTTGAAAATATATATATTGAAAATTTACATCATTTATTTTGTTTGTTCGGATACTTACCGGACCAACCATTAAACCATTGATCGTATTATCGTTTTTAAGAATATGGGTTTGGTAAAAGATACGAAGTTAGATAACAAAATATGAAATACCTTACAGATATACAATATATCAGACTAAAAAAAATATTTTAATAGACAATTAATGTTAGTAAATAAACTCAAGCGCATATTAGTAGCACATTACTATGCACTAGGTCACTTGTCCACGGAAGCGAAGGAACACCACTCTCTGTGGCCAGAAGTCTTCTTCCAAAACATGGTGCAGAAAATATGTTAGCAGTTTTACCACATAGGTACGCTTTGAAATTGACGTTGCAGGTCACCTCGAACAATGGCACTTCTCGTTTTAAGTTCATCGTATAGATATTTTATACCTGATTAATATTATTAGACAAGCCTTGGCCAAAAGAGAAGATACGTTGTTCGTCACATTTATTCATAATTTTTTGTCTTATTTCATCTTTTAGTTAATAATATGTCAATGGACCATGTGACCTCTGTGACATTAAACATGATAGTAAAAAACAACCTATAATAAATAACTTTACCACAGATATAGACGCCCATAAAGTAACATTTTTTCCATGTGCCTAAATCCGACTAGGTAAGTGAGAGCAAAAAATAGGTTACAATTTTTCCAGAAGTGTCTGTTTTCGGTAAATATTAGCACACAGCTACCAACACACCTGTAAATAATTCGACCCTTCTATAGTCGAACCTAGATTTTCAAGGTCAAAAGGAATATTTTCTAGATCGTTTTTCAAAAGGTTCTTTTATTATTAATTCGGTCATTTGTGTGGAAAATAATTTTGAAGGCTATAGTTAGTAACCTGACTAAATATAAGTACCTAAACGTGTGTTCTTTGAAAGCTAGAGATCATGTTAAAGACAGTATCTGTTTTCATAATAATTATGGTGAGACATATTAAGTTAATATTACTGTACTAAACATACTAAACTAAAAAATAGCTAGTTTCGAGTCACTGAGGAGCTCTTCCTCATGAGCGGCGTGCGCGGTTAAGATAGTATCTAATTAGCAAATATTAAAAAACAATTCCATAATAATTTTGGAACCAATTGATCAATTTATTTGGTATACTATTTCGCTGATAATAAGCCTCAAATTGGATCAGGTAGACTTAATAATACTCGTCTTTTGTGTTACTAACAACAAAATCATTTATTCACGTTATAACATAAAACATTTTTTTATTATAAGCCCGGTATAATGAGCTAACAAATTCCGATTGCGTCACAATCCGCGCTCAGTACAAAGCAAACTGTGATTACCAGCTATTATTTTGCACAGATTTATCTGCGAATGAAACCACAGCAATACGTAATAATATTATGGATAGAATATGTGAAACGTAAATTATAATTTCCGCAGTTGTGCAGGAAACGGGAAAGCATAGAGCAGAACGGTGGCCGCCATGAAATGTATCTTTTGGATCCGACGCGACTTTTGTATTGTGACTATTGATTTGTCATATAAAAAAAAATGTGGGTTCATGTACCTAAGTAGTGGGGATTGCTTTACTGATCTTATTTTAACTGTGTCGTGTTTGTATAGTGGTAGACATGTACGAGTGAATGTATGTTCGTTTTCTTATAATAATGCAGGGTATAAATAGAACGCTCCTGAGACACTAACAAACAAGAAATTGTTTTTACAATTTTAATAGTTTTTTGTTATCGAGTTATTCATGCAAAATCTGCCTTGAACAGTTATTACAACTGTTACTTCTATGAAAATAATACAATTTTTTACGATTTTTACCATTACCTACTTCTTGTCGTCATTTTTCGGGAGCGTTTCGCTTACCTACACTCTGTACAGTTGTAAATAATGTTTTACAGTATTTTGTTAGTTCAGTGTCGGACGCCAGTACTTTTGACAATTCAATTGAACCTGAATCCTTGACTCGTCTAACAAGCGTATAGTTTATGGCAAACCCGAAAATGTCTTTGTTCACCGGCTGATGACATTATGACAGTTTTGAGGAACGATGGTGCTGTGTAAGCCATTACTTTTTTAAGGACATTCTAAATCCTAATCCAAGATTCTAAACTGAATCAATATTTAATTTTAAAGTTGTGATATTGCTATATTAAGTCCTCCATTAAAACCTTTTAAGATTAATATTAAAGGTCTAACACACGCAAGACTAATTCTCATTGAAATCCAACATTCAATTAAAACGTAACAAAAGCATTATATACAGTTATAGTTTGCCAAACGCACTTACTTAATCCAAGCCAAGTTCATACTAAGTTATTTACTTTTGAAATTATTTTACTAAGCTTAATAGCGATGCTAAGATATTCTACATTAACTGGAGCACGCTTAAACAAAGGTAAATACTTCTTAAGTTTTCTATTGTAGTTTTATATAAAGTAGATAATTTTAACGACCGAACAAAAAGTTAACTTTTTGTAGTCTAGACAAGATTCAAAGGTTTAAAAGGGATTACTTTGTTAGATGTATATGCCATAAATAGTGCTACAGTTGAGAAATCTATGGTGAATCTAAAAATTTAAATCCCATGGGGTACCCCTAGTACCTAGACCGCACAATAATTATATCTAAGACAAATGTAATAAAAAATCTCAGTAGTAGCACGGAGTCTGGAAATGTGCCCGGTATATGGCAATAGGCTCACCTCCTATTACATGGGACTCATAAATA